TCCCCTGGTCACGCCTGTTGTCGCCAGGGGATGCAAGAAATGTCTCTCATCCACTCGCCGCAACCCGTGTTTGCGTTTCCTCGAAAGCGAGGGCCCCCAAAGCCGGAAACTGCCAACAGAACTTCCCTCGTGGTCTTGTCGCAGCGAGAAAGTTTAGACGCCGACATGGGTACGAAAAACATGGGCACGATGCCCAACACCACACTGACAGCGAGTCCTGTTCAAAATGAATATGAAATACTGTCATCTTCGTACCCATGTTTTCTGTACCCATGTCGATCGTACCGAGAGGACGCTGTTTTCAAGCCATAACTCGGCTCTTCGGCGACCGCTTGGGACGATCCGGAAACCCCCTGAAGGCCATCGGCGAGGCGCAGCTTCTGGATTGCATCTCGAGACTGGAAGACCGTCGAGAACCCACAAAATCGCCCGAAAACCTCAAACCTCGAACCCGAAACCTCCCCCCTCCTGAGCCTGCAAAACTGCCAGGAACCTTCCGTCGTGATCTTGTCGCAGCGAGAGGATGCGTCGCCAATGCATCGGCGACGTCGGCGACGCATCGGCGACGTGGGCGACGCATCGGCGACATCGGCGCGAAGAAAATCGGCGACATCGGCGACATCGACACTCTTTCCGTACACATTTCAATCGCACCGAGGAGGACAGATCGAAATGAACCCAGAGAAGAGCTCTGGAGGTCTGGACCCATTTCCAAGGGCCAGGTTTTCGCCCTGAGCCGTTCTTTGACGGCCCCGAGGCCCAGCGCGGGCCCCCGGAGGCCGAAAACGGCCGAAGACCTACCAATTCTCCAAATAGGCTTGCCCTATAGGAGTTCGAACTCAAACCCTACTAATTGGTCGGTTGCCCCCCCCAATTCCTATCCCCCCTTACTAATTCCTATGGCTATGCCTATGCCTATGCCTCCCCCCTAACTCCTATGCCTACGTCTATGCCTATGCCCATGCCTACGCCAATGCACATCATCTCCATGATCACCCACTCTGTCTATTTGGAGTCAACGCTGGCTGATATTTTTCTCGACCGCTGGGGAGCTGCGGGGTCGCCGGGCCTTCGCGGCCCTCGCGGCGGACGCCGCCAGCAGGTGCGCCGGCGGCGGCCCCGACGGCGCCGTGGGCAGCATGCCGGAGCCCCTGGCGCTGACCGCGGCGCCCTCCGCGGAGTCCTCCAGCGCCGGCCTCGGCAGCCCCGCGGCCCCGACGACGACGACGACGACGACGACGACGACGACGACGACGGCGACGACGACGACGACGGCGACGAGGTTCGATACTTCTTGGGACGCAGAAGGACATCCTCGATCCTCGGTGTTCGATGTTCGATTTTCGATCCTCCATCCTCGAGATGATCGGTTCTCGATCCTCGGATCCTCGATCCGCGGGCGTTGCCAGAAGTGTCCCCTGGCCCGAGCTGCCCCCAGGAGTTGCAGGGAGGCGCCCGCGGCCCCCAGAGCGGCGGCGACGACGACGGCAACAGCGACAACGACCAGGTCCTCAAGACAGCTACACGATACCGCACCAAGGCCCCAGGACCCCGCAGACTGTCCAAGGCTCGGGGCCCGATGATGTTCGATGCTTCTGGCTCCCCCAGGAGCCCACAAAGGACGTACGCGCCCAGCTATGTACATGAACACGGCCCTCGATCCGCGAAACTGGCCGCGTGACACGAACATACCCGTAACGCGTACTCTCGAAACCAGCGTGGATTCATGTACGTGCACGTCCTTTTTTCGCTCCCCCGCGGCCCAGCCTCGGCAGCCCCGCGGCCCCCAAAGGTGGAGGTTTGACCGCCAGCGAGCGAAGGGCGGAAGCGAGAAGGAGAAGGCCCTCTCACTAGGCGGCGGCATTTCTGCGCTTTCGGGGAAGGCTCAGGTCGGACGTGTCCCCCTAAAGGCGGATTTTGGACCAAGAAATGTTTACAGCATGCTAGAAGTAGTCGAATTTTCGTCCCCTGACTATGTTTGACTATGTTTGAATATTCCTCATGTAGAAGGACACGCCCGAGGCTTAGAAAATTGTTCAGAAAGCCGGGGGGCATCCGAGCCTTCTGAGAAGGCCCGCCCTTATTCAATGCCCCCCCGGACTCACCGACGAGTCGAGGCTCGAGGTCCGAAGATGATCGATAGCTCGGGCTCCCCATGGGACGCTGCGGCACGCGCGAATACGATGTGCTAGTGATGGGGGCGAACGTCCGACACGAAAATGCAGAACGAAACCGCAAGGCATATCGTTTCCCGAGCGGCGCGGCCTGAAAGCGCCAGACACCGAGCTTATGCCATAACATATCCAAGCGCGCACGTCGCCCTTGCGTGGCCGACGCACGCACAGCATATGTTTGGGCGGGGCCGATCCAAAGTTCGGGGCCCGAGAGCTTTCGATACCTGTGCCTCCCCAGACGGCACTCCACCAAGCGGCGGTGGAGTTCCCATGCAGGAGTCGGCCTGGCGTCGTGACCGCCGCCGCGCCCCATATCGGCACACCTCTCAAATCTACGCAATGCAATCTACGCGGCGCAACACACGCACGGCATAGACTGCGCTGCATGGAATACAAGAACACTGTTTTGGATTCCTGGCGAGGGGCGGCGGCGGGAGGCACTGGTCACTTGACGTTCAGCGGCTCGCCTGCTCTGCGCGCAGCTCTGCAGGAACACCATCTCGCCGCCCACACTCGGATTCTGGAACACACTCTTGAAGCGCCCCGAAACCATTCGCCCAGGCAATGCAATAATTGTTCTGCCAGTAGGGCTTGGGCTGGCGGCGCGGGGCCCTGACGAACATCAGGATATAACGCTGCAGTGATCAAGTTGCCGACGCACCCATCGTTGACCCTGTGTTTGCCATCATCCATCGCCGGAGCATGTATCGCGGTATCTCGTTCGAGCCTTAATGCGCGCATGTCTGCCTGCCGTTTGTACTTGCGTCGGTCGCCGACGCACGCATGCTCCACAATTCGCTTACGATGGGCGCTATGAGGGGCCTCGGTGGCAAAATACAACGCAGCTCCATTGAATGCGCCACGTCTGCGCAAGTGGGCGCCCCTGATTCTCTTCGGTGCGAAAGCGCGCCGAGGATTGCTCACGGCAGAGCCTAATCGGCGCCCAGGGCTACTCACGGCAGAGCCCAGTCGAAACTGTCAGTTCTCAGCCTGCGTCTTGCCCACTTGCGCCACTTCCTCTAACGTCGTGCGCACACACACACACTTTCCAATGCTGTGTGCGCAGCAATGCGGTCTAGGGCTGCGCGCTCTGTAGCAACGTCGTCTGTCGCTTCGTGCAGCTGCGCAAAAGAATCCATTCTTGCTCGCTCTATAGCAGCGAGCGCCGAGGCCAAGGCCGCGCGCTCTGCAGCAACGTGGCATGTAGCTTCGTGTTGTTGCGCAGCAGAATCAATTTCTGCACGCTCTGCAGCAACGGTCGCCAAACGTGCAGGGGAACGGCTCCGAGACATTATATGAAATTTCTAATTGTTGAGCGTGCTTCGAGCCAACACGGCTACGGAAAACGATTCGCGCGCAGCGCGAATAAAACATGTAGTCGCACAGACAGAAGACAAAGGAGCTAAGGCACTCATCGGTGTGGTGTGAACTACGTGGTGTAATCTATTTGGCGGAGGAGGGGGAGGCGAAGGAAAAGAAGGCTGAGGAGGAGGAAAAGGACGAGGAGGAAGAGAAGGAGGAAGAAGGTTATGGGAAGGAAGATGCACTTTCGTACTCATTCATGTGGTGCAATCTACGTGGTGCGATCTACGTGGTGCAATATACGTGATGAAAGATATGTGGTGCGTGCTTATGGTAAAACACATGTGGTGCAATCTACGTGGTGCTATATATGTGACCGTTTTTTTCAAGTCAGTGACTTGCTTGGGGCAACACAGGACATCCGCCGGGGCACTGCTTTACACTGAGGGCCACGGCGCTCGAATCAAACGATAACTCAGCGAAATAGACAAAACAATTATCATCCGAGGCTGTGGGCCGGCCTTGGGAAGGTGAAGAATTGCTTGAAAGCGAACGGCGACAATCGGAACGCTCATCATTCCCGTGCATCACTTCCATGATCGCTTTTTCAAGTCAGTGACTTGCTTGGGGCAACACAGGACATCCGCAGGGGCACTGCTTTACACTGAGGGCCACGGCGCTCGAATCAAACGATAACTCCACACTTCAAAACGACATCCCGCCACCAAGCATTGTACTGAACATCGCTTACTTACTAAGTTGCCAGGCTCTTGTAATCTCCGTTTGGGAACGACTTTGGTGAAGAGTAGAGGCGAGGAAGGAGCAGAGAAGGGCAGGATAGGCACTCTTCAACTTCGTGAGAAACTGTCCATTAGCCCTGCCAGTTAGCTCGACATGGGGTCTCCCAGTGAACTCACAGAGGCCCCCAGGCCCTCGACAAACCAGATTATCTATGCCAGGATTTGGACGGCAGCACCAAAAACGTAAACGAGCGCGCCCTCTAAAAAGCCCCACCACACGCACAGTAGTCTACAATTCTTTCCTCGAGAAAGCCAGACTCCCAAGGCGAAGCTCTATCGGGGCGAAGCCACAGGAAACTTTGCCACGGGTTCTCCTCCCCACCAGGAATGTTTCGCTGGATGCACCAACGTTGCAATTCACCCGAAATGGCTCCCAGACGATTCGAAACAGTCAAAAGCTCGAGGTCCCTACCTGACACACCAGGGAGCCCAAGAGCAAACTCAGGCGAGCGACTTGCTTTGGGCATGCGACTACGCGGTGGAGCTCTACGCGCACGAGTGTAGCCCTCACAGGGCGTGCCGATCCACACTGCTTTCACGATTCCTGAAACGATCCAGCCTCTCAAGACGTGCCATGCCTCGGGGATGGGAAGATTGAAGTACTCACCATTTTTCGTGCCCCACTCTATCACGGCTTCGCCTCTGACGCGAAGGTGCCGACTGAGCTCGCCACAGCCTGAGAAGACCTCCACGATTACCTTCGGGTGTCGGCAGCGCGAGGATCTCAGCGCAGCCCGAAGTACTTCTCGAAGGCGAGCTCGATACCAGCCGACCTTCGCCGCATTGCCGCAAGGCGTGTCGGCTCCAGCTTCTGCGGCTCGAGCCCCAGGCGGCCGTGCTTCTCGCACCGCGTGGCGCTCCGAAACGCGCGCCAGCCGCCGCGTTGCTGCGCGGCGGCCAATGACCTGGCGCCCATGCTCCGGTCGTGGCTGGCGCCGCCATGGCGGAGCGAGTAGAGCGTGCCCTGCAGCACCGAGGCACCAACTCCTTTCAAGACCGTCTTGAAGGCTGCGGCGAAGTCCGCGCACACCAGGCCGAGGAGCGAGCTGCCCGAGCCGCGGCGGCGCACCACTACCTCCACGCAGCGGGCAAGCCAGCGCTGCCTCTCCAAGTCCAGCGGGACGCTGATGTCGAAGGTCTTGGATGGCACCAGCGCCTCCTGGGCCCGAATGACGAAGGTCAGCCAGCGGGCGGCCCCCGACTCGCCTGGAAGCGGCAACACCGCATGGTCGGTCGAGAGCGCGAGCAACTCGGAAGGGCGCGTGTAAGTCTCGAACATTATCATGATCCCACTTGCAGCCATGCCCGTGTTGAGGTCGAGCAACTCTCGGGCCGCAGCGGCCACCGCCACCCAGGGCAGCGGGGGGCGCGCGAACTCGGGCCGCTGCTGAACCCAGCCCTTCAGCGCCTGCTGCAGGACGGGGAAGGTGGCACGCAGCGAGCCCACGGCAAGACGCGGGTCTCCCCACAGCAGAGCGGGCCCGACCCGCTTCGCCGTTGCGGCCGCCCCGCCCTTGGCGAAGAGCCACTCCACGAACTCCACCAGCGTGCAATCCCAGTCCTCGCGCGACCAGTCCGGGGGGCAGCCCAGGCGGGGCCAAGCGAGCAAGGCCCTCAGCACGCCCAGGTAGATCGTCTGAGTCTTCAGCCTGACCTTCTCGGCAGCCAGCCTGGGCAGCCGCGGGCAGAGAAGCTCCCGATCCTGCACAACCTGTCGCCGCACCTCTGCGTCGCCGCGCCGCTCGGTCGGCCCAGGCCTGCGCCGCGAGCCCGACACTCGCCGGCCAGGGCCCAAGCACCCCAAGGTGGGCACCCTCGCCGCGCCGCCCACGCCTGGCGTCGTGCGCCGCGCCGAGCGGGACCGTCTGCTGCCCCCGCTGGCTGGGCCTGACCCGGAACTCCAGGTGGGCGGCGGAATCGGCGCCCGAGCCGTCAGCGTCCGCCTCTCCATGCACACCGCGCCCACGCTCGTACTTGAGCCCAGGCGGGTGATAACGGCGAGAGGCCTGATCGCTGGGGTTCCTCTCCGAGGGCAGCCATCGGCAATGCAAGCGAATGTCGGCCGCGAAGCTGACAGCGAAGATGACTCGGCAAGCAAGCAGGAGACGATGATGAGCTGCTCTTCCTTGCGAGTGCAAGCGTGACCGACATGCTGTCTCCCAGCACGAGGTGGCGCTGGCCGTGCCGTCGAGCGCGCTTAGCTATGCGCCTCGCGGCCCAACAGACAGAAGCGGCCTCGAGACAGTGAATCGCTTCACGCCGCCTCCAGCGGCCGCAGCCCACCACGCGCCAGGTGGCCTCCGCCAAGGCTCTCGACCTGACCTCCGGGAACTCCGACACCCGCCCTGTCAGGATCAGGGCAGCATCTGGGGCCTGCGCCACCTCCGCTTCCATGGTGCGATCCCGTGGCGCGCCAGCGGCAGCAAGTGGCCCACGGAACCTGGCGCGCTCCGACAGCCGCCCATGGCTGGCGACCTCCTCGGGCCCCCACTCAGTCTCGACGACCCCGCAGCCCCAAGGTGACGCATCATAAGCTGTGACAGTCTGGGACCAGGGCTTGCCCATCTCACTGACGATGCACGGCAACAGCGAGCGCACCCATAACAGTTCTTGCTGCGCGCTGGCCCACAGCGGCTGGCGTTTCAGGCCTGAGGTCTCTGCAAAGGTGTAGCAAGCGGACAGCATGGCCAGCGCCTCCCGCCTCAGCATGCAGGCGGCTACGATGTGCCCCAGGACGCGCTCAATCTCATGGCCCGTCACCTTCCTGCCCTTGACCTCCAGCAAGTAGTCCAGAGCACCCATGAGCCGCCAGATTCGCTTAGGCTTGATGCGCCAGCGACCAGTGCTCCTGTCCAGCTCGCACCCCAGCAACTCGGCCTTGCTGCCGTCCGACGCTTCGATGGCGCTGGCCACCCCGAGCTCCGCCAACGCCTCGCGCATCAGCTGGACGGCCCTCTCGCCGCGCCCCTGGTCCACCGAGGCAACGGCGAAGTTATCGATGTAGAGCACCTTGGCGCCCTCCTGCAGAAGGTCAACGCCAGGCCGCTTGTCGAGTACCCAGCGGCCACTCTGCAGGGCTCTCTTCATGACGTGAAGATGCCCCTGCTGAATCAAGTGAACAGCCCAGCTCCAGCCCATTGGCACGACGCGGAACCTAAACTTGAGCTCCGACGTGCCTCGAGCCAGACCCATTTGTCCCCGCATCGCAGCAGGCAAGCACTGAGACTTAATCGCAGGCAAGGTGAAGTACCGCCTCGCCCACGCAGGCAGCTCGCACTGATAGAAACACACCTCAACGTCTCCGGAGCAGAACCGAATCATGTCGGGCCCGTCGTACTCAATGGCGGCGAGAGCCTCGGGGCTGGCAAGCTCGGTGTAGGCCGGCTCGACAAAGCGAAGGTTGGCAGCACGCGCGTCGGCGATCAAGCGAAGCTTGTTGTCTTTGCGCCGCACTAAAAAAAAACAATCCGATCTCCTCCAAGGCGCCCCCGGGGTCTACCTCCACCACCCCCGCGTCGAACAGCTCCGACAGGGCGCGGCCAAAATCGCAGCCCCTCCGCGCCAGCTTCGGGTCTAGCTAGCGCAAGTTATCAGTACAAGGTTCAAACAAGGAGTGAACTGCAGCAGGATCGCGCAGTAAGCCGTGCCCAGCCCCCAGCATCTTGAGCAGCGGCTCTGGCATGATCGAGCCCAAATCGACCCGGCCAGCACCTCCACAGGGTAATGAAATCGTACCCGGCTGGTAGACTGCCCCGCCGCCTTCCGACTCAGACTCAGAGTAGCCAGGTCGAAGTCCCTGCAACGCCTTCCACGAAGCATAGGTATCACGGTGCGAATCTGGAAAGCTCACCGAACCATGCAGACCAGCGAGGCGGCGTACAACGACGCGTTGGGCCTCTGTCAGCGCCGCAGCAAGCGCAACTTGTCGCCCTTGACCTCACAGCGCGTTCAAACTACGAAGACCATCGCGCAACCGGCGATTCTGTCGATCACGTTTTGCACCACGGCGCAGAGAGGAAGGTGATGACCCGAGCGGGCCCGAGCCATATAGCACGTTATCCAGCCCAACGCCCAGTGGGATCGGAAGCAGGTCGCCTGACGAGTCAACAACGTCCATGATGCAAAACTGTAGCACCGGGTAGTCCGCGGGTGCCTCTCCTGTGAGTTGTGACGAGCTGGCCGGGGGACTCCAGACGCCACCACTGATCAAGATGAGGAGCACGAGCTAGCTCGTGCCCTTGGCGCCCTTGGGGGCCGTCTTCGGCTTCTTGGGCTCCTTCTTGGGGTTCGGCTGGCCACTCGAGTTGCCACCCTCCTGCGCGTTGGTGCACGCGTATGGCGCTGGAGCAGAGGCCCCTGAGGGAGCAACACCAGCGGCTAAGAGCTTCTCCTCGCGCCCCTTGCGCCTCTCCTTCAGGATCGCGGCCTCCTTCTGCAAGCGCTCCGCGACCCACTCCTTCAGCTCAGGGGCCACGAGGGCGGCCCCTCGCCCTCTGCTGCCCCAGGAAGATCTCACGCTCGTCGCGCCAGGCTGACCCTCCTGCACCGCCTCCTCCCTCGGCTTCGCGCAAGGCCGCGCCGTAGACCTCCCCCCACAGCTGGCACCTCCTGCTCACCATCTCGAAGAAGACACCTGGATCCTCAACCGACAGGCTGAGGATCTGGCGCCACCAATGATGGCGTTGCATCGGCGTGAAGTCCAGCTTGACAAACTGCATGAGAAGGCACAGACACGTTCGTGGCCCAACGATCGGCCAGCCCTCGACGCTCACGAGCTGCATAGCGTTGACCGCGTCGGGAAAGGGTCGGCTCCGCTCGCCGAGGCCATCGACCTTCACAGCCAGCGTCCGGATGTCCTCACCCCCACGTGGCGTGGGGTGAGAGACGGTGCCCGGCAGCCCCACCGCCAGGGAGGTGCCATCAGCCAGCTCGAGCACGCCCCGATCTCCGAACGCCACCTTCGGTCGCACCTTGGAGATCAGGTCGCCAATCTGGTACCCCGCGCGGGCCTCGGCCGCCTCCCAGTCGCCCAGCGCACCTCCGGCCTCCACAGCGCTGCGAGCGGGCGCATCAGCAGGGGGGGGCAGAGGCGGCGGCCCTGCGCCTCCTGGCATGCCCACCGCAGCGCCAGCTGGCGGGGGGGGCGATCCATCGGTGAGCGCAGGCGAACCCTCCTCGGCGCGGATCTGCTCCGCACGCTCGCGAGCAGCACGAAGCAGCTCGGGCCGACGTCTCTCAAACTCATCCATGTCGATGCGCAGCACGCTACCGTACACAGTGCCGATGCCGCCTCGGGGGCCGACTGGCCGTAAGTCCAAGGCCTCGTCCAGATCCTCATCGTACAAGTCGAAGTGCGGGGTAACCACAATCCAGCGAGGCCCAGAGAGGGGCTCCAGTAGCACGCGTTCGTGCCAGTAGTTATCGGCCAGACCGTAGAAGGCGAGCACTCTGCCCAGCCGCACCAAGCGCTCGAGGGTACTCTGCTTGCGAGACATCTTCGGCGCCATCGGATCCACGAAGAACCGCAACGACAGACTTGACACGAGATAGCCTGGGCTCCTCTCCAGCAGCACCACGCACTAAGAAGCCCGCCGCGAATGCGAGCACAATCAGCACGGCCGCGAACACCCAGTCACTGGCGTCCCAGCCCGTCGCGGCGGTCTCCTGGCGTACGAGGTTCTCGGGGCCGCACCGCTCGAGCTGCCTCTGGAGCAGCGCGATCAAGCCCGCGTCGACTCCGCCGCCCTCGAATCTGCACACGCAGCTGGTCGGGCCGCCCCCGACGCGCCCGAGCCACGTGCCCAGGGCCTGCCCGAGCACCGCTGAGCCCCAATGGAAAGCCTGGCCAACTACTTGGCCCGCGAATGCACCTGCGAGCGCGGCCATCCACCTCTGAAGGTGGAAAATTGCTTGAGAGCGAACGGCGACAATCGGAACGCTCACCATTCCCGTGCATCACTTCCATGCCATCTAAGTGGCAAGAAAATACCAGCAATGCAAAGCAATACAAAGCAATGCAATGCATAGCAAAGCAGTGCCATGAAAAGCAATGCAAAGCAATGCCTAGCAAAAAGCAATGCGAAGAAAAACAAAACAAAGCCATGCAAGCAGAGCAATGCAATGCAAATCAATGCCAAGCAATGCAATACAAAAAAATGCAAAGCAAAGCAATGGAAAGAAATGCAAAGCAATGCAAGGCAATGCAACGGACAGCAGCAGCAATGCAAAGCAAAGCAATGCAATGCAAAGCAACGCATAGCAATGCAATGCAAAGCAATGCAAAGCAAAGCAATGCAAAACAGCGCAAAGCAATGCAACGCAAAGCATATCAATGCAAAGCAAAGCAGCACAAAGTAAAGCAACGCAATGCAAAGCAATGCAAAGCAAGACCATGGAAAGCAACGCAAAGCGAATCAATGCAATGCAAAGCAACGCAAAGCAATGCAAAGCAATGCACTGCAAAGCAATACAACGCAAAGAGATGCAAAGCAAAGCAACGAAGAGCAATGCAATGCAAAGCAACCCAGAGCAATGCAATGCAAAGCAATGCAAAGCAATGCAAAGCAATGCAAAGCAAAGCAGAGCAATGCAATGCAAAGCAAAGCAGAGCAATGCAAAGCAATGCAAAGAAAACCAATGCGGCACGGGCACGGGCGGAAGCAAAGCAAAGCAATGCAGCGCAAAGAGATGCAAAGCAAAGCAGTGCAAAGCAATGCAAAGCAAAGCAATGCAATGCAACGCAACGCAACGCAATGCAAAGCAATGCAAAGCAAAGCAATGCAAAGGAAAGCAAAGCAAAGCAATGCAATGCAAAACCACTGAAAGCAACGCAAGGCAATGCAATGCAATGCCATGCAAAGCAAAGCAATGCAATGCAAACCAAAGCAATGCAAAGCAATGCAAAGCAATGCAATGCAAAGCAATGCAATGCAACGCAACGCAATGCAAAGCAATGCAAAGCAAAGCAATGCAATACAATGCGAAGCAAATCAAAGCAAAGCAACGCAATGCAATGCAAAGCAAAGCAATGCAAAGCAATGCAATACAATGCGAAGCAAATCAAAGCAAAGCAACGCAATGCGACCCAAAGCAATGCAATGCAAATCAAAGCAATGTAAAGCAATGCAAAGCAATGCAATGCAAAGCAATGCCAAGCAATGCGACCCAAAGCAATGCAAAGCAAATCAAAGCAATGTAAAGCAATGCAAAGCAATGCAATGCAAAGCAATGCCAAGCAATGCGACCCAAAGCAATGCAAAGCAAATCAAAGCAATGCAAAGCAATGCAAAGCACGGGGAGGCAGGGGGCGGCACGGGGCCGGCATGGGGGCGGCACAGGGCGGCACGAGGGCGGCACGGGGCGGCACGGGGTCGGCACAGGGCGGCACGGGGCGGCACGGGTCGGCACGGGGGCGGCACGGGGGCGGCACGGGGGCGACAAGCCCGCAGGCATGGCCAGATGGTGAGACCAGATGGTAAGAACCCCCATGCTCCCGCTGTTTGGGAAAGGATAAAGGACTGGGAATGCCGACGACGACGGCGACGACGACGACGCCGGCGACGGACCGACCGACCGACCGACCAACCGACCGACCGACCGACCAACCGACCGACCAACCAACCGACCGACCAACGACAGAACACAGCACGAGGTCATCTAGGCCCGCGGCTCGCTGGCCCGCGGGTCGCGCGGGTCGCCGGCGCGGCTCTCCAAGTAAGGGACAGGCCGCGGTCGGTTTCGCCACGCCGAGGGTGAGCACCCGTCCCCGACCCCCTGCCCCTTCCTGTCCCTGCGGGAGCGTGGGGTGAGAGGGAAAGGGAGAGGGGGAGGCGAGAGAGGGGCGAGAGGGAGAGGGAGAGGGGTGAGAGGGAGAGGGAGCGGAGGGAGAAGGAGAAAGGGGAAAGACGAGGAGGACGAGGAGGAGGAGGACGAGAAGGAGGAGGAGGAACGGGGAGGAGGAGCCATGAGAAGGACGGAGGAGGGAGGAAGGGGGGCAAGAGGGGAGACGATGGAAGTAATATGAAGGAACCCTCTGCCCCTTCCAGAGCGGGGCGGAGAAGGACGTTCCCCGGGAGAGAGATCATCCTCCTCCTCCTGCTCCCCCTCCTCCTGAAACAACATCTATTAGGACTACTACACCTACTACGACTACGACTACGGCTACGACTACGACTACGCCTACGACTACGACTACGACTACGACTAGGACTAGGACTGGGACAACGACTACGACTACGACTACGACTACGACTACGACTACGACTACGACTACGACTACGACTACGACTACGACTACGACTACGACTACGACTACTACTACTACTACTACTACTACTACTACGACTACTACTACTACTACTACTACTACTACTACTACTACTACTACTACTACTACTACTACTACTACTACTACTACTACTACTACTACGACTACTACTACTATTATTGCTACAAATTCTCTAACTAAGGAGACTATTACTAGTATCACGCGTACTGCTACAACTACTACTTCTAGCAAAACTGCTACTACTACTACTACTACTACTACTACTACTTCTACTACTGCTGAGACTGCGACTGCTACTACTACTACTACTACTACTACTACTATTACTACTACTACTACTACTACTACTTCTACTTCTACTTCTACTACGACTACTACGACTACTACTACTACGA